TTTTGAGCGTTAACACTAGATCGTCCGAATTTACTCTCAAATTTAGGCGTGAACGCCCAGATTTACATATGTAAACCGAAATTTGAGAGTAAATTCGGACAATCTAGTGTTAACGCTCAAAACCCGGGTGTTTTTTCCGTTTGTTAAGTCTGAGATCTCTTAGGAATATTTAATTTTCGAAAAACTGATTTTCAATATTTTTCGGAATATTTATTTCTCACGTAATTACAATTTCTTTCAGAAAACAGGAAGGTAAAAATGTTGAGATAATTTATTAGCTGTTACATTAATGTAATGCGGAGAAAATTGCGAAAATTTCAAGCTTCGCTTCCAAAAAGGACTCCGCGCCAAATCCCATGAAAATGGCTGAATTTTAAATATGTTTTACCTTTTTGGTCACTGAACAAATATTCCTCGGGCAAAATATTAAAAAATTTGCTTTAAAATAAGCAATAAACATAGTAAAGCAATAGACATAGTGAATATAGATTGAGCGTCCCATTGAAAGGAAGATACTTGTACACATTCCGGAAATTCAAACAATAATGTCACAAACAAATTATTTTCTATGTTGTTCACTATCATACAGTTTCTTTATAATAGTCGCCGCATTGATCCGAGAGCAATAATTTGCTGACCTCAGACTTTCCAAGGGTTGAAACGACGAAGCTGTCCATTTTTTTTTACTATTTTGCCCGAGTGGGTGACCAAAAAGGTACAACATATTTAAAATTCCCGGGATTTAGTGCGGGGGCCTTTCGGTAAACCCGGCCTAAAATTCCAATACGAAATATAGGTTGTCGAATCGTGATGGTGGCTTCAGTTGAAATTTCGCGGCAAAAGATGGGAAGTCCAGTCTGTTTACGGTCCGAAGTTTGGAGGTTAACGTGAGGCTTCCTCCGCCGTCTCACTCTCGCATTTCACCCCGTCGTGCGGAGGCTTTTTTATTCGAACGATGCCCAAGCCTGTCCCCGTGAGATGCGTGGCACGCGTTAACCGTATAGAATTCCAACAATTGTACATATAATTTATCGAACGCGCCCACGATGTCCATACATTTTAACCTCGTTGCCGATTAGCGCATTTTTATTATCGCGACCCTCCCTTCGCACGGCGTGCCCCTCGGAAACCGAAACGCGAGTGAGCTCGATCGCGTGCGCGCCGAGCTCCCGAGGATGTTCGCGCAGAGCGACCAGAGCGCGTTGGCCAGTAACGCGGAGCAAAACCCGTTGAAAGTGCGGCCGTGTTTCATACGCCTGTTCAGGGACAAGGAGCTGGACAGGCACATAAAACGATGCAAAACGAACGAACAGAGTGAGACAGAAGTAAACAGATACGATCTTATCCGCGTTTCTTTCCCCCCCCCCCCCGAGTATCTCTTTTTTTTTCTTTGCTGTACGAGGCCTTTTGTCCAAGTGCGGCCGCTGGTGCAGGTATCGCGGTTGAGTGACAGCGTTTATAACCAACGTTTCAGGACGCCTTGATACTTCAGAGATTGGTACTGCAGAGCAAGCTGCAGCTGAGCGAGGATGAGGAGAGTGTACCTGACGTGTCGGCCGCCATCCAAGAGATCCTGGCGACGATATTCACCGCGCTTTACAATCACCAGGACGAGGAGGGAAGATGCTACTCCGACTCCATGGCGGAGCTGCCGGAGCACGACATCGTCGACGGCAAAAAGTACGGACGCGCCTTGAGTACCAGCGAATGCATTTTTTTTTTCATTTATCGCGAGGTCGTTCCGCCGCTCGCTCGGGTTCGAAAGTGCGTGTGAAACAGGAATTGTTTTTACATGTTGGAACACAGGGTGCGGGGCCTGTCGTTGGATTTGATTAAGAGGCGATTAGACCGCGGGGTTTACAAGAGGCTGGATCGATTCCAAGAGGATGTCTTCACGTGCTTGGAGAGAGCGCGCAGGCTGTCGCGCACGGACTCGCAGCCGTTCGAGGACAGCGTGGAGCTCCAGGCGTTCTTCCTACGCACCCGCGACGACGTGACTCGCGGGGGTGAGCTGTTACAGTCGCCCGCGTTGAATTACACGCTCCTGGAACTGTCCACTCAGGTGGCGGAACTGAAGAGAGTGAAGCAGCAGCAGGAATTGAATTTACCTAACGAGGACGAGAGTTGCGACGGGAATGAGACAAAAGTGAGTTGATTCTTGTTTCGTGCGTGACAAACTGCTTCTTGTTGCAAGGCCCTCTACATATATCTTCAAATGCTTGCCGTTGCAGGATTCTGAAGCAAATGCGAATTTAGAAACGAATAACACCGACAATGGCGGCTCTATGAGTTTCAATCAGGAAGTGTACAGAGCCGGTGACTTCACATACATCGAGCCCACCGAGAGGGGCATGGAGTACAGCGTGGTTCTCATAGAACGGCTTTGGACCAACGCGGATTCTCAGCAGATGCTGTACGGGAATTTATTTTACAGACCCAGCGAAACGTATCACGTTGCGTCGAGGAAATTCCTGGATAAGGAATTATTCAAGAGCGACGCTCACGTGGCGGTACCTTTGGCGAAGGTGGCCGGCAGATGTTGCGTTCTGAGCGTAAAGGATTATTTTCGAATGCAGCCCGAGGGCTTCCAGGAGAAGGACGTCTTCGTGTGCGAGTCGCGTTACTCCACGAAGGCCCGAGCGTTTAAGAAGATCAAGGTCTGGAACTTCGATCCCGATCACTTGACATTGGTCCCCCGAGAAAAGCCGTTGGAACCGAAGCGAGTAATATCGGTATACAAAGAACGATTGGAGAAGCACAAGGAAGAAATCGCCGAGTTGGAGGAGGGGGAAAAGTTGCTGGAAAAGGAAAGACCTGTTAGTAATCGAATCGAAATAATATCTTTGTTTGCTTTAACTATCAGCTCTTCTTCTCTTTAATTATCTTAATTATCTTCGGCGTATCTTATCTTGTAGAATGTGATATTGTATAACCCAGAGGACACGGAGAATACATATTATGAACAGTACAGCACATGCGTGGGGTCTGTGAAGACCGGCGATTTTGTTTACGTAGCGACAGACGGGGGCAGGCAGCAGATAGCGCAAGTCGACTCTATATGGTCAACCAAAGAGTGAGTAAAGAAAAATCTGTAACAATACGTACATTTCACGCATTACCGGAGCCTTTGTGTCGTCCGATTCGTAACGTGTCGTATTGCATTTTTTTTTTAGCGGGAAGTGTTATTTCAAAGGCCCATGGTTATTGATGCCTACAGAAGTGCCACATACGCCTACGAAATTATTTTATAAGCAAGAATTGTTTTTATCTACTGTAGATGGTACTCATCCCATTGTAGCTATTGTTGGAAAGTGTGCCGTCCTTGATTACGGAGAATATATATGTAGTAAGTGTTCACTGTTCCATCCGTTTAATGAGTTACGTGGAAATTTAGCTCGTTTAATGCAACGCAAATTTAAAGGAGGAAAAGGGCCGACTATCCTTATTCTTTATTCTCTAATAATGGGTTCGAATAATTAAGTAATGAACATTTTGGTTTTAATAAGCTTTTCCGGTACAATTTTAAATTTCATACAGTTATTGGTGAGGCAATAATATAAAATAATTAAAATTGCATCGTATTACATAAACATAAAAATAAGAAGTTATTTCAAGACATAACGAACATGCAGTAAATAATTAAAAAGATAAATATGAGAACGTACGTTAATAAATGAGCACAATAGCTTGTACATAAAATCAAACGTTTACTAAATTATTCACGCGCGAGTTACTTATTAGAGGATAAAGAGTAAAATAATACACTCGACTTTGTAGCGCTCGTAGTTGAGCCTTTTTCCTTAATTAAAATGAATGAGATTAAGAAGCGAATTGAATGAATTATACAGGCAGACCGACGGAGATACCGGAGGACGACGTGTACATTTGCGAATCGTTTTACGACGAGAGTAAGAGTTTGATAAAGAAGTTCGGCCAGGAGGGTTTGAAGAAGTTCAATCACACGTCGACGGTGACCGAGGACGAGATCTACTTCTTCCGAAGGCCTATTAATCCCGCGAAAGTACGTGTATGAGAGCTAAATATATCAACTAACATAATGCATATTCAATTTACTCGACGGATAATAGGATATGTTTCTTAGTTCGTTCTACGCGACTAACTACGAGATTATTGCTTTGCATGTCATGTGTGTGTTGTAGGTTTCGAGCGACGTGGCTCAGACGCAAAGTCAAGTCAAGTCCGTCACGCCCAGCTCGGCTCAATTTGAAATGGTAATTACTAATCACGAAATATTATATCTCTTGTTTTTAGTAACGTAACAATATGCAATCGCACGTTCCTTCAAGAGATCACACGCAAGCTGATATAGCAAAAGTCTTACCGCCAGTATGTTCACTCTCGTGAAACTAGGACGAAGGGCGAGGCAAATGCTTCTCCCTTCGGTCCAATTAGATTGTAATTTATTTGCGTGTGATACACAAGTATTTTTGTTATATCAACAGAATGCATTTACACGCATGTTTTTTTCGACCTATGCCGGCATATTCATTCTTTCTTTTGTTTTGATTATGTAACTTATGTGTTAGTATTATTGTGTCTCGAACGGTTTCATCCAACAAATTTTGTAATCAGAGCACCTGTTGGGTTTATCGCTAGTATGTTACGTACGAACGCAAAGCACACCACCGAAAGATCTTGCTTCCATGTCATTCTAATCCAACTAATGTAAGAATGAAGAATCCGCTTTGGAGTATACATATCAACTAATCTGTTTATGCAGAAAGTTTTCAATTAATAATTACACATTTTGTGACTGTAAATGCGTTACTGTACGCGTATATCGATACACGTACGTCAGTGTCGAATTTAGAAAAGGAGAAACAGACGTTACGTCAACACAGTAATACATTATACATTCGAGAGATGAAATTTAATGTAATGTAAAGAGTGGGAGGATATCGCGATTCGCTTTCCTTGGTCGGGCGCGGAAGAAGGGATGACGTTCCTTTTATTATGTGTACCAACTTTTACTACTGGAGAAAGTCGCGAGAATATATTTCGCGATCGGTAGTAAGAGATAACGAAGGTAACATAAGCATAAATGGTGTAGGAAGCGTCACCATTGTTACCGAAGCTGGAACCAGATGTGCTAAGCATGGGGGTAGGATTAGGAGTGGGAGTGGGAGTAGGAGTTGGGGAAGACAGCATGGATGCTGGTGGTCCACCATCCGTTGGCTCTACGGAAGCTCAACCGGTGCTCTCCAATACTCAGACACCTGTGTCGACTAAGAAGGTAGGCTTTACCGTGACCACTTCATTTTTTTTATTTTTATTTTTTTGGTTCATTCTTACCAACTACTGTCACACGTCATATTTTGTTTATTTCACTTTCTTTTTATTTAGAGAAATATGCCAGCATACATACCTCTTTTTCGTTCTCTGCACCGTTTGAAGACACCACCTGTCTTAACAAATAGATCGTCAATTTGATGTTACCTCTGTTGAGAGATGTTAGAGGCAAATACCTTGCTCGTTCACATGAACACGGTGACATTATAATTTGTGTTTTCTCTTCTGTTTAGAAAACGACGGGTAAGAAATTAGTTACGGGCTATATTTTGTATTCGAGTAAAATGCGAACGCAGATTACACAAAACAATCCTGAATCGTCCTTCGGAGAGATTAGCAGAATTGTTGGCAACGAGGTATTTATTTCTTTTTCACTGTTGATTTTTTGGTTCCACTTAACAATGGTGTTTCGATGAAGGAGTGTATGCAGAATAAATTTTCTCATACATGATTCGGCACGACGGGATCTTCTCGTTCAAGCATCAAATTTGTTGAACTATGTCAACTCTGACCGTCCGACATTCATTTGATAAGGCAAAAAAGAAAGAGTTGAAAACATGATTGATCATAAAGGGATCACACTTTGCATACAGGCCGTTGAAACATTATTCAGCATACTTGGTCCTTTGTCCAAATAAATTATATTAAATTGAAATGGCTACTTTCTATTCGTATAAATGTACATGTCTCGTGTATAAAGCAACAACGTATCTTCTACATTCTTTGATCACAAGAATAGTACATATGCAATCTTCTATTTCTGCATATGTCTCGCATTGCTAAATAATTTAATCGTCTGCACATTGATTTATATATATTATCGCCACTGTTCTCGACGTGCAAACGTCACCTGCATTATCCAGTCTCTGCTGAAGAAGAGAGTAGCCATTGAGATAGTTCGTCGAACCACTTTTACGACATCAAAAATGGTTTTGCCAACTGTTTGCCAACGAGTAACGCAGCGGGATTGACCACGTAAAACATAAAACCGCTCTCGTTGCAGTGGAGGAAATTGCCGGCGGGAGAAAAGCAGGCATGGGAGGAGCGGGCGATCAAGATGAACGAGGACGGCGGCCAGCTGAAGGGCACGGTTTCGGTGGGCACCAACGCCACGCAGGACGTCGTGTACGAGTGCTGCTGGGACAACTGCGACTGGCAGTTCGAGGACATGACCGACTGCATCGATCACAGCATCGCGGAACAGAACGGCCACGTGCAATCGTCGTTTGTAAACGCTCCCAGCGGTGAGTACAGCCGTCGCGCGGCACAACGTGTTGAACGGAATCGCAACTGACATACCTGTGCCCGTTGCAGATGTCGAGTTCCAGTGCCAATGGCGCGGCTGCGGCCGAACGAAGAAGTCTGTCCCGCCGTTCCCGAGCGTGCAGAGACTCGCGAGACACGTCAAGGAGGTGCACATTCTCAAGTCACACGGGCGCATAATACCACCTTCCGAGAGAAGCAGGTGGGAGTTTATCCTCTTCTTTTCTTTTTTATTCTTTCTCCTTACGTAGCTTTGTCAAATGCGCCTTTGTAAACGTACCGTGTGATATTGCGTTCCCGCAGGAATTACATGCCCTCGAAAGGACCCACGGTACTGCCGCCGATGGAGACAGGTAATTATATATTACTACGAAATGTATTTAACCGCGATGCAAATAAGGGAGAAACACGTTTCACGCAGAAACTTCAGCGGCCGCAACTCAGACCAGCAGCGCGACCGTTGTTAGACAGCCGGAGCCGATGTTCGTCGCGGTACCACCGAGGCCGAGTCGCGTATTGCATTCGGACGCCTATTTGAGGTAGGAGCTTGGGCGTTAAGCGCCTCGCGGGTGATTATCTTGCGCCGTCGTTGCTAATGCACGTCTCTCTATTGCACACGCAGGTACATCGAAGGTCTAAATGTAGAGAATCGCTACATATCAAACTGGGATAAGCAGATGAACGCCAATCCGGATAACACGCAAATTCCCGACGTGACGAAGCTGCCCGCCGAGTGGCTGGGAAACGGCGTTGGGAACCATGGGAATGTGGTAAACGCCTTGTGGACACTCAGAAACATGATGATGCGGGATGTGTTAGCCATCAATAAAACTTTATAGTTTATAAACTGTTAAGATTTATAATTTTTGAACGTGCGGCGCATCCTACACTACACCGACCCGTTAACGCTAGATGAAAGACTGACGGTACTCAATTGTTTAAACAATATTTTTATATATATAGAACTTTTCGTTTTTTTTACCTGTCAACTGCATTTTTCTCTTAATTGTAAATCTAATTGTACGATACCTCGGTGGGTTTTGTCTCCCGGATATTTTTAGCAAAGGCAATCTGCAAGTTGACACTGTTTAAAATTAATTTAAATCGCTCAAGCATTAAACGTAGCGCTTTTTACACGATTGGCAAGAAAAATTTTGTTTTTGTGAATAAAATGTTTACGCTTTTTTTGTTCTGAGTTAAATAAATTCTGTTTTGAAAGCATCTTTCGATCACATTCTTAGGACTGTACGATGTGTACATAAAGAAAAAGGAAAATCGTACTATATAGAAGACCATTATTGTGTAAATACACCTGCTGACTTTCAGTTTCACTTTTCGAGCAAAATTTTATACGTTCTGTATAGCGCAAGTAATACATATTCTTGTATTAGAGAATACTAAAGCTGGAACTCTTCCTGTATTAGAAACGCACGTAATAATGGGAAGCTGCGTATGTATATACAAAGAAACTTGCGAGGCAGCGTACTGATAACGCAACTGGTGTTCGCGCTCTCTTATCAGTGCTGCTTTCAGAATTCACAGATGACGTCGAGGAGACATAGTGAGATTAATCAAATGATCTATCTTCTATCTATTAATAGTTGAAAAGAGAGAAAGAGAGAGAAAAGGATGGAATCCTGCGTCTCGTGCAACAATGTAACCTCGTAGTATATTATTTTTTAAGAATTTTCGATACGATCGGAAGAATTTTGAAAACGTACGTACTGGCAAATACAAAATGAAATTTTTACTACATTGTCGTGTACATATGTTTCTTGATACGATATATTTGTAGAATTAACTCCTTTTCTACGCGAACTGCTTAGCATTAATTCTGAAAATTTATTATATATCTTGGCTAAATATATTTTCGCTGCTACTGACGTGAGAATACGTTTCGCCAACAAATGTGGATCGACTTGAATTCACTTGTCAATGAACGGCTGCACACTCGATCCTTTACTTACACAGTACACTTTGACATCGTTAGTGATCGAGTTCTACATTCATTTCACCATTGCTCATTAGTAGCGAGAAATTTAACCGCTTTGATGTATAAAATTTGTTATCCTGAGAAATTAGGTATGCAGTATTTGACCAAAAAAAGAATTACGTATTTTTGTATATGTAATGTATGTGCTGACGATCTGTGCATTATGACGCAAGTCTTTTCTGTAGGTTGCCATAGTGCCAGACTTTCTGAAAGGAAGTCGTGTGAAATTGATAATACCAAGACGTGAAATGCAGTCACTAATAAATTTGTAGCTTCTGAAAACTTACTCGGGTATCAATAGTCTAGCAGAAAGGCTCATCTTTTTATAATGTAATTTATTGCCACACTGATATACAATTTTCGTTCTGTAATACAAGTGCTCTCCTATGTATACATCTATTAGTTTTTGTGTCTTGCATAACGAGGGATCATTTTGATTTGTATCATTGCACTTGACGTTGACAAACAAATTACACCCGATTTATCTTATACGAGTAGTTACACTAGTAGAAACTAGAGTGAAGATTGTCTAAAAGACATGCTTGCAGAAGTTCTACAAAAGGAAGACGCACGGCGTTCTCAGTTTCAAAAATCGCTGACTCTACCACCGTGCTGCCAATCTCCCCATTTAGTAGGATCGTTCTCGCTGTTTGTTATCAGTTCTCCAGTTCTCGGATCAGTTTTCACTAATACTAAGTCGACGAACCGTTCCCGCGGTCCCACTTCTTACATATCGATCAAGGAGAAATCGGTATAAAAATTCCCGAAACTCTAAGCGTAGTTAATTTCTTGCCGAAGTTTATATCACATAATTTTAAAAAGGATATCGGTACTCTTGCACGCTACATTAATTTTTATTAATCGCTATTGCATACTTGGTATCGGCTGCAATTTAAGTTTTTCATGGAACCGTTTCATTCGCGGCGATTCTCGGTCGTTCTGCGAGGATTCGTGTGAAATCTCTTTCGTTTTCAGGAAAAAAGCACCTGAACGTATCACTCATACAATTTTTATATTCAACGGAACGAAGATTACATAAGTCGAAGCAAGAAGCAATGATTGTATTAACGGAAAAAAAAGAATTCAAATTCGCAAACTTAGAATATTCTGAAATGTCGACACATACTTGTAACAAATTGCCTGCCACTTCTTAGTTGTAGATTCGTCAGAATGTGATTTACGCGAATCATTGTGCGAATATCACAAGAAATTACACGCGGTCGACTAATGAAAGCATTGACGTGGTAATTGCTAATTTTGTTAACAAAACACTGTCGCCAATACGTGACTATATACAGTTCGCTCTGCTTCGCGCGAAATTGTGTTACCTATTTACTAATAGAACATTTTTTAACACAATTCTGTTCCGCATTTATTTTAATTCTTACGAATCTAAAGATGAGGTATCTGCTGTTATCACACTCATACTTTTACACGATTAATTCAACTACACTGTTTTGAGCCATCATTTAACTTAGATATTGAACATGCTAAATTTTATTGAAACCTGCAAGATCCGATCATTTTGGTAACACAGCTCAATTGATAAAGTAATTTTTAACAAATAATAATTCCGTTCGTGTTATATTAAAACAAGTAAACAAACGAGGCCAATCTTAACGAGCACGAAAGTGCTTGTTAGTTGACAAAGCAATATATATTTTAAATTTCAAAGATGTTAGGTGAATTGCTTACTTGTATTAAATAATTTTTGCTACTTTGTATCTCGGATAACTTTTAAACTTTAGTTGTCAAACGGATCATCTTTGACATCGGGGAGGATTCAGAAGTCCGACACGCGGCCCTTCCTCTCCCAGTCGCCGTAACGAGTCGGCTCCGGTCCGCGGGGACCACCAACCTCGCCTGTATCCGGATTCGTGTTGTTCGGAAACGGTTCCAGGGGTTCCTTCTCCTGATAAGGATGCCTGCCCTCCTCCAACTCGTCCAATTTCTCTGTCACGTTCAAAGTTCGGTTTCTTTAGTCTTCCAGACCTTTCTCAGTAGCACAATATATTGGCGCAACATTGGGGAATAATGTAAATCTAGTATTTCCAATATTGGTCCAATTAAGATGCACGCCTTCTCTTATTTAGCTAATATGTCTATTCAGGAATATTGTATCAATTTTAGGCCAATATTCTTATTACGTTGTTAAATATTGGCCAGTGCACTTCCAATATAAATCTAATTTTATATACGTATTATTGTGCAATATTCCCATTTATTCCATGGCCAATATTGGCTCTACATTGGGTCCATTTTTAGCCAATGCACTGTGCTACTAGAGTTGTGGGTGAACTCGAGACAAGTGGCTATTGCACGCGGTAAAACATACCTATGGGAGTGCGTTCGCGCAATTTTTTCCTGAATTCACGTAATCTCGGACTCTCGCCGACCTCATTCGTGCTTTTAGACGAAAACAGACTTGCAGGTCCTTTTAAAGAGAAATCATCAATGGAGACATTACAAACGTGTGTGTTCTGTTACTTCAGCGGAACCGCCAATGTCGGTTTGTCCGCGAACTCATACCGTGTAAGCGTAGCAATAAGTGACGCCCGCCTGTTGAAGCTGAGGCGCGATTGATGCCTGCCATTCTTCTTAAATGGTATCCTACGCTCTGCTCGAGAATGAGATCAAACCAAGTCGATATCCGCCTCTATTCAACCTCGCTGTCTCCAAACCTTCGAAATTACACGAAAGAATTGTCATGTTACGTTTCTAAAAATTAAAATTTTCTGAACAAAATTATTGTTCCACGTGAAGAGGGACATACGGGATACGTAAGCATGTTAAATGCGAGAACTGTCGTGGCCTGAGCCGATTTATTTAAACTCATACCGGCTTTTTAAATTACAGGATGTTTAGTGACAAATAACACCATGGACATTGCTTTCACATCATTATTAACTGTGTACTAGTTTGCTAAGTATTGTCATGTTTAAATAAAAATTTTTAATTACAAATAAAACTTTACGTTTAAATTTAACAATTGAAAACTTACATTTAAACGATAACAATTATATAATTTAAACGAGCGTCTCTCTTAACATTAATTACTACGTCAAGATTAATTTACGAATCCAGTTGTCCTCGAATGTTTTCCAAGGAAATATTTACATACGCGAAAACGAGATTAGGTTAGGTTAGGCCCAAGTCTATTTTGCGGTAGTACGATGCAATGTAATCGGTTGTGTGATAATAAATTGCGCTCGATAATTAAGGCACTAATCAATCGCTACCGTTCCAGCGTGCGATTATTTGTTTTTAAATCCTACACCTGGTTTTTCCATGAACGTAGGAATACCTGGATGGGGTATAGCGGGTCGTCCACAAAGGGTGAGGGGAATGAAATGTCTATTGTAACCATAGACGTATAATATATAGACTTGCGCGTTTGACTGAAACAATGAACAAACTTTAGAAAAAGACAACGTACTTGATCTTATCGGAATTTGGCATTCCGAGAATTTCAAACTTCAAATCGCAAAGATCGAGAATCTGGAAAACTGGCAAAGTATCAGGAGAACATAATCAGCAAGGAGGTGGCACTACCTAAAATTCCAAGAAT